GGGAGTAGCAGGATACACACCTTGCACAGAAACTGGGAGCTGCACCAGCAATGTGCCACTCTCCAGCTAAAAGCAAAACAGTGGGGCCAAAAACTGGCTCATGGAAAATGAAAATCCCTTGCCAGACCTCAGTGCCCAGTGCCCAGCTCCTCCCAGAGCTGCACAAGGTAAGATCAGGACCTGAAAATACCAGAATGTGGCTGAAGTTCACTATTTCTTTTTCATAATACATAACAATTCATTTTGTTGACAATGATTTCTGTTACCAGAACAGAGTGGAGAAAGAATCCTCCCAGTATCTGCACCAAAACCCTGCTCAAGCTTTATATCAACTCTAAAGTACCTTTTCCTCACTGATATCAATGGAAGTTTCATGGGAAAAGAGGAGAATTCAGACCCAAGGGAGCCATCAGCTGAGGAGTGTCCATTGTCCTGCCCATTCCAGCCTCAAAGGTTTTCCATTTACAGCAGGGCCTCGGGGAAGGCTGGGCTGGAATTCCCTGGGCACAGCTGGGATGGAGCAGGGAGCTGTGGCTGTGTCAGGTTGGGTCTGTCCTGCAGCAGGGTCAGGCAGAGCCCAGCCCTGACACGGCTCAGAGCGAGGTGAGAGTCACAGCCCCGGGCAGCCGGGAGCTCTCAGCAGCCCAGAGCAGCTCTCCTGCACAAGCTCCAGGTGTCTGATCCTCGGGAAGGGAGGACAGGGAGCTCGGGGGGGCTCCAGGTGAGCCCTCCAGGCTGGCCCCCAGCACTCCTGGCTGCAGACCCCAGCTTTGCCTGCCCTGCTGCCCACACCTCCTCTTGCCAGGGTTCCGACCCCGGGGTCACGAGCTTAAGGCAAAGAGGGTTGTGAACAGTCAAAATAGCTGCTGCTAAGACAGCTAAGGGGATTAGACAGCCAAAGGCCAGCCCTGCTCCGGCAGGCACCCCGGGCAGCGCTGCCCTGCAGGGGACGAGCCTCGGGTGGCCACCGGGCACAGCCACCGGGCACGGCCACCAGGCACAGCCACCTGGCACAGCCACCAAGCACAGCCACCAGGCACAGCCACCAGGCACGGCCACCGGGCACAGCCACCGGGCACAGCCACCGGGCACGGCCACCAGGCACAGCCACCTGGCACAGCCACCAAGCACAGCCACCAGGCACAGCCACCAGGCACGGCCACCG